ACGACATTATGTTCCCCAACATATTTTACTGTCGGAACCCCATATCGCTTATGGATTAGAAGTCTGGGGGAACACATATCCCACAAATTTGAAAAGCATTAGAACAGCACAAAACAGATTGCCAGATTGATAACTTTCTCTGATTTTACTGCCCATTCTGCACCTATTTTCAAACAACGTAGAATACTTGATGTCCCTAAATTGTGCACATACTCAATTTGTAATTTTGTATATGATATTATCCATGGTAATCTCTACACTCTATGCAAACATACAACTTTAAGTACATTCAGCATTGTCACAATACCAGACAAAGGCACCGATGTGATTGACTTGTTCCAAAAATGAATACAACTATAGGCCAATTACCAATCTGGTATTACTAAATTATGGAACAGTCTGCCTGTCACATTAAGATCACAACCAAAGCATATATTCAAACAAAACACGAAGAATCCACTATTGGCGAGATACACCACATAACTTTATTTTGTTTCTTTATTATATTCTTCGCTTTTGTAAAAACAGTATTGTCATGAAGTACTATATGGCTGCATTTTTTCTATTTACCTATTCAGTTTAGCGCAAAATATCTAAATTATTGTATATTTATTTACGTTTAAATGAATTTGACAAGATTAGCTTCCTAAAGCCGTTTCAAATTCCTTTTACCTGTAAATGTATTTATTTTTTTCCTATTTCAGAATTGTATTTTTCACGAATAATACGGGTAATAAACCATCATATTTCAGTAAGTTATCGTTTTGTATATTAACATTTTACCCACAATACACTCCGCGTTTCTATGGTATTGACATTCTGCCCGAAGCTCCTTCAAGAAATAGTTTCGTGTCATGTTTCCACACCATGTTAACAATATACCTTGATGATGAATGACTGCATATAGATCAATACAATTTGATCAATACAACCTGGGGCAATATACAGACTTGATTACTCAGATTAGGTACGAGAAAATACACTGCCCGACACACCGGGGATGTTTTATGGTCAACGTGTCGCAGATAAATGTGATATTACTTTGATAATCACACCAGAATTTTAATGATGACTTTATCATAGAATGTAATGTATTGTAAAATATGCAGTTATAGTAGACTGTAACATTTACAAAAACTACCGACGTTCCGATATCCGAATATACATCTACTCATCGATCCTGATAATTTGTAACCGAAACATTGCACTAGTGATATCTTATAATCCCTACACGATAATGAATGAATGAATGAATGAAAGCGCAAACAAATAATGAATAAATGAATTAAATTTCATACACATAAGCAATTTATTATCGCGATTGTGGTATAACATCACCATTGCAATATTCATAATCACACATATCCAATTTGGAGTGATGTAGTGACATACAATTTGACCAGGAGCTGTTCAAAACTAGCTAAACTTGAAAGGAACCGAGTCCTATTTGGGTATATGTAGTAACATGTAGGCCGACGATTTGAAAAGAACTTAATGAGCTGTTCACAACTAGCTAGCATTGGAAGGAAATGGAAGCCATTATTATGGGCATTATATACCTTATATTGGACTTCATATATCATGTGATTAAATTTAATTACATAATTCAGTCTTTGCTACTTGCACCACCGTGAGAAAGGAGAAACTTGGATATGAGACTTGATGATACATGTTTCCCGCGAGTCGTGCCCTCTAGTGGCAACGCGCGACATGAAAGGTGGCAGCACAGAATGACGGAGTCATGAAGTATTCATTCGAATTAGCTATATAAGATACTAGTATAAGACAAACTAAGCTAAGCTGACATAGAAGATAAGGCAAAAGATAAGATAAGCTAACACATAAGCGAAAAGTTGATAAGCTATAAGACAAGATTAGCGTTCACGCACAGCTCTTTTGTACGGGATAAAATGTCAAATACCTTATCACGTGCTAAGAAAACGTGCGTGAACGCATGGGCTAAGTACGGATGAAATCTGGCCTGTTTTAATAACTGGTCCAGATCTTTAGCATGGTGGGCTAACCGTACAAATAAAAAGTATACCTTCCTGGTTACCGCGTTCCTTGGCCCGTACAAACTACTGTAAAATACTTTATTTTAGCTGGAATGAATTTTCGCTGAAAAGATTTTTTTGGGCGTTTTGTATGGAATTTATTTTCACTGATTTTTGACGAGTTGAATGTAAAATGTAAAAAAAAGGGTATATTCGCTGAATTTTATATTCACTGAATTATTCCGACAGCGAAATGGGCGAAACTTAATTCCAAGCGAAAATAAAGTATTCTACAGTACTCCTCGTGCATTACCGTGGCGCTTTATAAAGCTTACGTGCAACTGAATCACTACAATAATAAAATTTAGCCCTGACGGAAAAAAAGTATCTTGGCTCAGTTTCAGGAGAAATTTTGCTAAATCGGACAGCAAGAAAGCAAAGTTTCCTGTAATTGGAATGCAACTAAATATGTGGGAAATATGTTGTCAATCAACGAGTAAAGCATACTTCAAATGTCTAGACTTGTTGGCCAAAATATGTGGATCGTAACATAATGCTGTATATTTTATAACGATTTGAACTATTGTGGAAATCTGGGTCATTCAATAATGTTAAATTTAATTCATCGTGTAGGTTTACAACGTAAAGGTCAGACGAGTCGAAATTGATGCTACTCATAAATTTATATTTAACTATTTTGTATGAAGTATTGGTTGCAGGGACACTCCATCTAAACATCAAATAAGGATACGACGTCACGCGCAACGAAATAACATCATGCACAAAGAAATGTAGAAATGACGTCATGCCCAAAGAAATGTAGAAATAACGTCATGAGTGATTACAGCACAGAGCCTTGAAGTACTAAGTTCCATTCTAATGTGAAGTTACTTGAGGTATCAGTGAAACAACTATCAAATAGGCTAATTTATGTCAATTGGGTATACAGTTTCTTGTAGATCAACATTTTACAGTTGATCTACAGTGACCATTGTCCGATGTTATCAGTAAAGCACTGGCTGCATATTCCCATCTGCAACAGTGTTTCAGACATTAAAGTTGTGCATAATAATGAGGTCACATTACCGTATATGGTCATCTAATGTGCTGGTCAAATCTCTTGTTTAATGTCGTACTATAGAATTTGTTCCACATGCCTTTATACAAAAGTTTTCTAGATACTAGAATTATGCATACTAATGAGATCACATGACCATACCTGGTCATATGATACGTCAATCATATCTCTCATCTGATCCACAGAAAATAAACATCTTTTGGACAACAAGAACAAAATTGACCCAAAAGGTCCAATTCACTAAAAAATTTCTATACTTTCAATGTCTGAATGATTCAACTCCACTATATTTTTATTTTATTTATATTTCTTCATGCTAAGTTGTAATTTTGTAGTCTGTCTGCTAATACACCCCCCCCCCATGTAATTCTAAAACTCTACATAGAATTTGGCTTGCAGAGATGCATAAATAAATACTACTTGCTGCATATCATGGTAGCAAATGATTTTTGTCATTACATTACATTGAGTGTGAATTGAATCATCCGAGGTGAGCTATTTACTTAGTGCTGCAGGCATTCAAACATTAACCTTTACACCACCAGACTTTTCCGCCCAAATTTGTCTGCTCTTTTTTCTTATATTCTTCAATATTTCTGGAAATGAACTAATTTTGTAACCAACAGACAAAATTTGACTAATTTTGTAACCAACAGACAAAATTTGAGTCAATTTTAAGTTTTTACTCAAAAAAATGTTATTTTTTCACAATCTTCTGAAGGAAAATGCAAACTATAAGCAGAACTACTGTAAAGGGGTCAATTATTTACTAGGTTTTAATTTTGCTTATTTCGCTGACTGGAAAATGCGCTAAATTAAAACCCAGTGAATATGTAAAATTTAGCATAGAACACATTATCTAAATGATAAAACTGTGAATTTAAAACCCACTGAATATGCCTGAAATGGAAAATAAGCAAAATTTAAACCCAGTGAAAATTAGTCATTTTACAGTATTTTGTGATGAAAAGAATATTCTGGTGGTGAAAACATTAATCTAATAAAGTATTTAGAGGATAGCACTTGTCGACTTTTCTGATTTAGAGACATTAACAGAGGTAAAAATTGCTTCCAGGACAAGCATTCCCCACCTGAATCCTCATCCTCACTAAACAGATTACTGTAAATAAAACACGTGATTTTGCACATGCTTGTGCCTGAAACAACCCAACATGATGAAACACATTAAATCTTTAGAAATGAAGTTTAGGCTATGTTGGGCAAGTTTAAACAATTTTGTTTTGTATCAAAGCTTAATGTACAATTTATTGTAAAATTAAATTCCATTATGGCAATAAACATTTTACTTGCTAGTAAAGTATTGTAACTGCTAGCTAGCATTCGTCAAGGATTTACCGACAATCCAAGACTATGCGTTTTTTCCCGCTCATATTCATTACAGACGCATTTATATATCAAAAGCAATTAACGATTCTGCAACAAACAAATGTGATGCGTTTCTAATAGACCAAATACACGGTGAATCTGTCTAGTTTTGCATACAAGTCAGTCTACACATATACTGAAGTGATAGAGTCAGCTGATTAGTAACACAGAATTCTGTGCAGTCTACACACGTCTAGACTATCAAGACGATTCTAGTGTACACTGGGAAGGGCACTCTGAATTTTATTATTTTTTTTTGAAATCAAAGAAAGCTTAGAATGAACTGTCGAGTTCAAAAGATATGGCATTATTAGAGAGGCAATACAATTTTAAGATTGGCCTTTCAAACAAGAAGCTTGGCAACCAATATTTGTTTAATATTTGAGATGCACAACATGAAAACAATGCAATTCTCATTATTGAACTTTTATAATACTTTCAGAAAATAAATTCGATTTTTATCTGTGGTTTTCAGACCACCTCTATCAGAAGCTTACCGGTAATTTAAATCAGTTTTTTGAAATATCAGAAATTGGGCAACATCGCTAATTAGATAATATGCACGTTTTCCACATTTCATTGTTAAATTAGTACATGGACCATAAATTGGCTAATTATGCAATTAATATATGCATGGAATTTTACCCAAAACTAACATTGACCTAGCATCTATGTACCAATTTTCATCAATACCCATTAAGCTGTTCTTTAGTGAAAGAGTGATTGAACAGCTTAAAATAGGTGAATCGTGCAAATTAGGTAATGGCATAGACTTCAACAAAAAACTAATCAAATCTGCGCATTAGCCCAAAGCATCCATCTACTAAGTTTCATTGAAATCTGTTCGGTGATTCTTTAGATATCAGTTGACCAGACACACAAGCACACAGACAGACATGCAAAGACTCAATTGTGAGCTTTACACACAGGAATAAAAAAACATTCACACAATTACAAATAAATTTATACGATTTTTATTGGTTGAGTCTTTGAAAATCAATATCTCACAATGGAAATAACATTTCAAACATCAGCGATGGTGACTTCAACTTCTACGCCGGGTTCAATACTGATTGATGTCTGTAGATGAAGTGTTAAGGATATTAAATGCGTGGTGAGAGATGACAGACCGAAGATGAGTTGAAGCACCCCCTCAAAACATGTGTAATTTGATCACACACACCAGGACTAAATTTCACAGCCACAACACACCAGTCTGAACTTCAAAATTTTGCGATATTCCACAAAATTGATGTGCACGTCGCATTGTCACAAAGTTGCAGAGGTGACAAGGAATGAATGAATCTATGCCAGTGCTCTCCCTATAAAGTTTAGTGATACTCGTGTACACTACAATGGAACAGAAACCAACTAATTTTTAGCAATATCCTGTACAGATACCCTTATATCATAACATATATTTTTAACATTATTCTCTATATACTAGCAGCCATATTGGAGCCTCATCAAAAAATCCCTACATAAATAACATGTAAAACATCTTGTGGTGATGTCGCATTCTTCATTCTGAAATTTTGGCTTGTGTAAAATAAAACAGAAAAAAACAATACAAAATAGAAAATGTTGGGAGTATGACAACAAAAGGATACAATCTGCTTGACAATCTCAGATGGGCTGTGCAAGTCGATAACTCTCTTGTGAATCCGCATCTGAAATCTATCCCATGTCTTCGAGCCTTCACCACAAGGGGTCTTGCGTGTGGTGATGCGCAGAATCTTGGTTGGCATACGGACAGGTCCCTTGACACGAAGCTGCTTGTCCTTGGCACCACGGATCAGATCAGCACATACTTTATACATAAAAAAAGAAAGAAATTTGTTAGTCTGAGATCAATCAACTTTAGATGCCAAATTTTTTCTAAGGACGTTTACTAGGACCTTGACCCCCAACAGGATATGAACTACCATTAGCGTCTTTGTAGCAGTCTTGACTTGATGCACCATTAATAAATGTTACAGTTGTAGTCAGCAACTACTAAGCACTCAACCTTGTACATGATTCTGACCACAACTGGCATTTACACTCGTACCCACATCCATGTTATTATGTATAATAATACTTCATGCAAATTCTGCATATATATATATATTCTTTTAGTTTGTTAAATAATATTATTAACCAGGGGTTTTCCTAGAAAAAAAATTAAGAAGGTTTCTGCGCCGTTTTAACTGTATCTATCGCCATTGAAATATTTTTGGAGTAATTTTAGTGTATTTGGTGTTCAGACACATTGTCAGCTGGTGTTGCTGGGAAGTTTTCATAAAGAAAAATATATTTGAGAAAGATTTCATGTTGTCGGGCAGCACGGAAGTGTGCAGGACAAGAAATACATTTATGACTTCAAATTCAATCGGCAATTCGGTAAGAGGATGCCAGCCGAGAGTATCACACATATATTTGATCACACTAGTTGAATTGAACTGCAAGATGTACATAATGTACATTCATATTTCAACAATTTTTATGACGGCTACCCATTCTAATGTTTTCATAATTAGAGAATTCATTTGAAGACAGTAAAAATGGTCAGAAGATGAAGCAGGGGAATAATCTAATATTTCCTGTAATTTATAATACTGTATTTGCTCTATTAGTAGCTTATTCATCCAACTTTTGGCTTATGTGTGCTTCTATTGGAAATGCACTTGTAATAGAGCAAATACGGTAGCCAACAATACCAATCGCAGCCCACCTTCAAATGATTAATCTTTTTTATTTACCTTTTTCCAAGCTTTTTACATTGCGGCTTGTCAGAGTAATTCTAATACGATGGATTGGTAGTTCCTCTGCAGGAGCTCCTTTACCGGTTTCCTTATAGTGAGACTACAGAAAGAAGAAATGTATTACAGGCAATTGAATGCAAGAATGAAGGGAATCTATGTGCAGTAGCGCCCTCATAGGGTCATATTGAGAACTTTGTGGGAATGACTGTCAGAAATGTTATATTGTTAGGCTGTATCCGAATAAATTCGTTGTAATGGGACATAGAATTATAGTTAGATAATTAAAAGTGGGCATCAAAAAAAAAATATCCATATAAAATACAGTCATTAGCCACAGACTTTGGGTCTAGTTTTGATGACAATGTTGTACATTCAGGTTTGTTGGCTTGTACTCGTCATACATAGAATTTATTACAAGTCAAAAATGCACGTTTGTGCCTATCCTCAAAGAATAATATATATGATGATTTGTAACTATTTTCTAAATTTACCCAAATGGAAAAAAATAGCTTGTTATTTCCAGAATGGCAACGAAGAGATTGAAACAGTTATTACAATATCATGGGTTCTTTGTAGGTACAGAAAGAACATTTTACCGTTTACATTTAATAAGCACATACCTCGCGAAAATTAACATCTGTAGTAATATTTTATGTGTTTTAGCAAAATAGGTCAACATGGGACCGAGATGCAAGGTTTAGTTACAACGCCATCTACGACACACTTAAGGTTTTCAACCGGTGCACTGAGAAAACCTTTCTAAAATACGCTAAACAACCACAGTAGTAAGTCTTTTAAGCGTACAGTTAGATAGAGGAGTTGTTCTTACCATGGTTTTATTAACTGGCCGACGTAATCGATTGCGAAAGTAGCAATGAACAGCGGTGAGCCAGGCGACTTGACACAGCTACACCAAAACGTGGACGATTCTTTCCAAAAAGGACGAAGCATGGCTACCCATCGTGCTTAGCGACAAAAAAAAATATCTTTATTTTTTGTACTACAAACTTTCAAAATCAATCAATATAAATTACTTCAGTTAAATACAAATATTGACAAAATTTTATTTTATTATAGCCATTCTTATCATATACGTAGTATTTAAAATTTTTCGAGACGAATTTCAGGAAATTATTATTTTCGTTAACAAGCGTCGCCGAATGTGGTACTAATTATATGGAAATACATTCGTTTCTACTAATTTTCTCTTCCACGTTGGAGTACAAAATGGCGGTGAAGGTAAGTAGTGCTAATTTAGGGTGGAAATTTTGACTGTTTTAGGGATAGTCGGTTATTTTTAAAGACTTCTTCCTGTTTTCTATTTAATCGACTATATAGATGTGGGATTTATTTCTGGCTGTCATATCGGTAGGGTTATTTGTCCCGGCTTTAAGCCGCCGGTTAACGTGTCATCAGCTACGTGTTTTGGCGACATGTTGCCAAGTTCCCCTCCAGTATACACCACTGAGTGTTTCACTGTAATGACACTTATTTCGTGATATGTTGACGAAATCGTGTTTGATTGTCGATCACAGCATCTACTATGAACCGCTTGGTTCTTCATTCGGCCAGTACATTCAGAGTTCCCTCCTGGCCTGCCAGTTTACCCTTATAAATTACAACCATAAAATAACAAATACGATCGAAATACACTGTGTACTGGTTTGGTTTCGTGATATACTGTATTTGCAAATAATATACGACGTGGCGGTTATTTTAATAAACCAGTGTATGCTATTTAATATCATAGGCAAATATGTCATTTGTCTTCGTGACACGCCAAGAGCAGTATTTATAACAATGCATGTAAATCATAATTATTGTAAATATCGGATTGAGTTATTCAGGACAACGCATTTCATCAACTTGGACTACATATATTTGCACCATGCTTGTGTTCAACCTTTAGACCGATGGCCATTATACTTAGTTTTACTATGCTTACTGCAAATTTCAACCGTTTCGCTTATGGTGCGCCCAGTGCACAGTTGTTACCAGTGGGTGTGTCAGCTGGTGCAAAAGCTTTAGTTCTAATAGAGACCACTTGTAAGTTGCAAATTTATTATCATTGGGACATTTTTGTGTATTCTGTTCAGATTATTTTTATTTTGACTAATTATAACACTAAAGAAAGTGATAATTTGAAAAAAAATTATTGTTTATGACGTAGTCCCTGTCCATACTTTTCACAGATTCACATACATACAATGTAATAGCATCTCTATACCCTGATAAGAAAGTGAAAAAACAATTTAACAAAACATCTACACATAAGCAGCTAAAAGTTGAACTTAGAGTCTGTGATTTGGAACTTCCCAAATTACCAAATAAGATTTGTAAAAAAAAAACAATTCTTCATTCACTGAACACATCTGAAATACTCGATTAAGCTATTAATACTTGTGAAGACAACATTTCGCACAAAGCATTGAATTTAATTTCTAGGTGAATGAATCCAACCTGCTTACTAACATAATTGTAATTATATGACAATAACTTAAGTGTCATTGTAGTAGCTTCATTGCCTTTCCAAAAATCCAATCCAATGCCATTCATAGTACTTGATTTTGTTGTAATTTGAAAACATTTGCTTTAATTAAGTACCATGGTTTATTTTATTTATTTTTTACTTGAAATTCATTTTCAGTCTTTTCAAATTAAATCAAGTGAATATATATTGATCCCACTGTGGTATAAATTTCTTTTTACAGTAACTCATGAGTCTTGAAAAATAAATAATAACATACAAAAATATTGTTTTCATTGAAAATGAGTGTTTGTACAGTATCCTTATGCTATGTTGTCATTGTGATTGGCTGTAAAGTATACATATACATGCCTTGTCTTGTGTTGAGAAACAGAGGGTGAGATTGCATTGTGATCTGTTCATACATTACAGTGGTTTACATTTACTGTAAAAGAATTAATTATTCACTTGGTTTTAATTTTGATTATTTCGCTGACTGGAAAATTTGCTAAATTATAACCCGGTGAATACGTAAATTTGAGCATAGAACACATTATCTAAATGATAAAACCGTGAATTTAAAATCCACTGAAATGCTAAATCAGTGAAATTCAAACCCAGTGAAAATTAGTCATTTCACAGTAAATCGGCATTCATACCTGCCTTCATGCCTTATTCACCTACTATTGGATCACAGTAGGAGGGCATTGTTTTAACTGTGGCACCTTGTTCATGTGTCTCATCCTGGAGTTAAACCCGACTTTTGTTAAAATTGTAGTTTTGGGTCGTTTTTGGCAAATTAAATTGGTTTATACTGATTGTGAGGAATCACAATGAAAGACTCAATAGACTTTTGGCTGAATTAATTTTATCTTTACTTGTGTTTATTCATACTAATTAAATAACATGCTAATAGAATTACTACTGTAAAACAAAAAGCCTGAGCATGTTGTCATGGAAGCAGATATTTTTATTATTTTTTTATTATGATCTTGATTGAAAAGTTGTCACAATTTAGATTAATTTTTTTGTGTAAATTTTAATAGTATGAGGAGTCAATGTATTTCTAATCTTTACAAATATTTATAGTGCCAGTCTCCATTACGTGTCATGTTTGATGTGAATCCTATGCGAAGTATGAAACTGGAACATTGTTTACTCAAAATTTGCTACTCTACAATAAATTTATATCATCTGAATGTATAAAAATATCCTGTATTTCAGCATTTGCTTATTGTTTCCATTTCAATAATTTCATCTCAAGACTCAAGAAAACAAAGTAAAAACTATATTCAGAGATTAAAACTAAGGAGTATGCAAAACAAATATTTCTTGTACATTGTATTTACCGGGTGCGCATCCTGAACCTTACTTGAAAATGTATATTCTCTACAGTGCTTAGGTACATGTATATTACTTCATGATATGCAACTTCTTTTGGGGAATGAAAAAAGACCAATCATCCCAGATCTGTCATTCTTACATTGCAAATACCATATTTGCTCTATAAGAAGCAGTTTGTTTTACATCTAACGTGCAATGATCCATTAAGGGCAGTGTTCGTTTGTGCATCAAGTGATATTTACTAAAGTACCATGTATATACCTATAGGTTAGGAACAGTACTTCACAATTGAAAGGCTGTATTCAACGCTACATTCAATAAGTTGTTGTTCTGGAGGGCTTGTCAGTTAAAAGTGACATTTCTGGTGGAACTGAAAGTATGTCCTTAAATCCACCAGTTTATTCAGTCTTGTTCGTATCCAGTCGTGCAATAATCACTAAAATAGTAAAATATGTGTTACTTACACGATGTCAGATTTGTTGTCTTTAGGCTGAATTGTTATTGTGCCTGAGTCAGTGAGCATGATCATCTTGAACTAAATACTACTGGCCGTCATAATATGAAAAAATATCGCAGATTGCAGAAACACTAGTGTGGTCTGCTGTTGTCATTTTATATTTGATGGCAGATTATAAAGGGTATCGGTACATTGTTGAGTCACTGCAACAGTCTGTCTGGCCCAGTTGACTATTAACTGCAATCGTATAATGCATATGATGTGTACCGTAAAAACTCCAAAATTTCGACCCCTCTAAAAATTCGATCGTTTATTTATTTTCCAGGGTTTCGGTAATTTGTTTACCTCAAAATATTTGACTCCATTAAGAATTGCCAACTCATTTTTATTCGAAAATTGCGACCAGTTTTGGTTTTCCCCCAAACGAAAAAAAACAAAATATGTGAGCGTCCAAACGGGACTTTCCCCGAAGGCATGAATCCGGGTTTCTGATTGACAAAGAGATTTTTATTTTATTGGTAACGAAAGTATAT